ACACCCCATGGGGAGTAGCGTGGCACAGCCTGGGCACCGGCGCCCCGCATGTGACCAGCTGTCCAGCCCCGATCTGTGGCGCAGCCCAGCCCTGCCCCATCCTGGACTGCTAGGTTGACTCTGGTAGTGGGATTGGGATCTTGGAGGAGAGAAGATGCTGCAACATGCCTAGAAGAAACTACCTGAGACATAGCAGGAATAAAACTCTGCAGAGAAGAAGCTGAGAAACAGAAGCACCTGCCAAATTCTAAGGTTGCCTTTGACGATGGCTGCTTCAACAACCCAGCCACCACGGAGCTGGAGCAGCTATCCCAGCAGCCAAGCAGACATCCATCTCTGCCACCGGAGAATGGTTCTTTTACCTCAGCAGTATTAAGTGGCAGGAAGCAAACAGCAGCAGATGGCACCTTCTTTTCCTTTTGACAGAAGGACCATCTCAGATGAATTAGAGAAATATTAAAGGAAAAAGTGTAAGTCTAATATTCTTTATTCATAGTGTGTATGAGTTTTGTCTTCAAATAAAACTGTGGTTTGAGTGAAATCTTCCTCTGCCAATCTGGTAACTGCCTGGCCAGCACTTACCAGAATCATAGAATACTAGAACTGGTCGGGACCTCGAGAGATCATAAAGTCCAGTCCCCTGCCTGCAAGACAGGACCAAGCGCTGTCTAGATCATCCCCGATAGATGTCTATCCAACCTACTCTTAAATATCTCCAGTGATGGAGATTCCAAAACCTCCCTAGGCAATTTATACCCGTGTTTAACCACCCTGACAGTCCTTGTCGACAGCGGCGCGTCCAGACTGCCCCGATCTGCCGACAAACAGCTGATCGGCAGAGCACGGCAGCCTTTTAAATTTAAATGAAGCCGTGATTATTTAAATCATGGCTTCATTTCCCTCTGCCGATCAGCCTAATCTAAATGCCTTCATCGACGGAACCATGTAGTTTAGACACACCCTGACTGTCCTCATCGGCTTCCATTGGCATGAAATGGCAAACTGCAGTCAATGGGTGGGGAGACCATGCCTGCAGACTATCCTGCGGCCTGCCAGAGAATTACCCTAATAGGCTGCTTGCCAAAGGCAGGGGCGGATATAGGGCAGGGCGAATGGAGCGGCCGCCCCACGCATGCGCTGTGTCAAAGGGGGGCCACTGCGAAATTGTGCTGCTCTGGGCCCCGCAAAATCATCATTTGCCTCTGGCCAAAGGCACAGTATAATATACAGGCAGTCCCCGAGTTACGCGGAACCGACTTACGTCGGATCTGCACTTACGAACGGGACTTTTTTCGCCCCGGAACTCGCGGGCGGCAGGAGCACCCAGACGCGCAGTGGTTCTGCCACTGCGTCCTCCGGGGCGAGAAAAGCTGCTCTGGGTGTCCCTGGGCTGCTGGGGGGGTCCCCAGCAGACCAGGGACACCCCGAGCAGACCAGGGACACCTGGAGCAAAGCCGCAGAGGCGGCGGGGTCCCCGCCCCCAGGGCTCTGCTCAGGGTGTCC